ATTTGAGATATATGTTAATATGAACTTTTTTTGTTTATTTTGTGTTAGTGAAGACATACCTAAAACAGTGCTGTGCAATTACGAAACATCCTGTATATGAGATTATATTTATTGTATTTCCACTTAAAGAAAAAATTTCTTCAAACTATGAAATTGATGTTGTTAATCATAGACGATACGTTTTTGAATTTTGGGTATTTTTTTTTAAAGTTACTTTCTTTTAATGATTCTAAAAAGTCACATACAACAGAATTATATTCGATAACAATCGATGGAGAATTTCGTGATGATGATATGAAGTTTAGATTGACATTAAATTAATTTAAATGATAATATGTGATAGAAGATATTAAAACATATAAAAAGTAATCATAAACGATAGTCTAATTATATACAGAGGACCAGGAAACGAAAATTTTGTAATTTTAATCCAACAACGTTTTATGTTGAATAAAAAGCAATAACTAAAAAGATATTTAATTTAGGATACAACCAGTTAGTTCATAGTAAACTATAATAAATTTAAATTAAACACAAATATACGATATTTTTATTTAAACCATTTAAAGGGGACTTTTATGCAGTTAAACTACGGTAAGTTCGGTTTTTCATAAAATCAAGAATTCTTCGCGATCTTTATGTATAACCTCACAACTGGTTTAAGCTTAGATTAATTAAGTTGAGTATAAATTTTCTCTGATTGAGTAAAATATTATTAGAACGGTAAAATTAGATATTGGCCTCAATGTTTTACATCTTTTTACTCAATTAGGGATGAATCTCAACTTACTCTGTAAAAAAACGTATTTATTTAATTATTAAACAAACAAAAATGTGGAACATTAGATTAAATTAGCAATCTGCAAATTTCTTTGCAATAAGCAAATTTTTTAGCAGCTTCACAGCTTCTCATCACGTCCGGGATATAAATCAGATCAGCAGGTCTCTTAGCCAACGCCTACGTAATCGTCGTAGTGGGCTGTACGGGTTTCTTGTACGATGAAGGCTTTTTGTCAGGGGATTCATGTTGTACGTCAGTCTTTGGTGAAAGGTATTGTAGTTCTCTTTTGCAGTATCTAAAATTGTAGGTACGTTTAAGTCTTTATGTAGTGTGTCATTTGCGACATAAAAAGGTGCGTCAACTACAACACTTTTCGCAACACTTTTGACTGTAAGGACTGAACTTTTTTAATGTTGGAAGTTTTAGCAGAGCTCCACAGTTCAATGCCGTAAGTCCAAATAGGTTTAAGTAAGACTTTATAAAGGATTATTTTGTTAGTTAAAGATAATTTTGAACGTCTGTCAAGTAATCTGGATAAGAGACCGTATCGTCTGTTTAATTCTATTCGTTTTTGTCTGATGTGAGTCTTCCAAGTAAGTCTTTTGTCCAGGTAAAAACCTAAATACCTAATACTTACTTATTACTTATTACTTATTACTCTGTAAAAAACTTAAATTTAGTTAATACAAACTTGAATCGCATCAAATAAGGAAGTATTTCTGAAAGTGTGTTATCTTCAGTCCAGTTGAGGGATTATGATAAAAACATCGATGAATCCTTGATTTAAAATATTACTGTAACTGCAGCAGTACAGCGGCCATATTGAACTCCTGAAAGTCCCTTTTATCATTGACCTTAGTAATTTTAATCACTGTTCTCTAAAAAAAATGTGTCTACTTTACGATTGCGTACTTAGAGTTTAATTAATATGAAAGGTTTTTGAAAAAGAATTATATATTCAATAAAAATTAAAAAAAAATGCTTAGGCTAATTTTTATAGAGATTTTAAAGTACTTTAATATTGTACAGAACAATTTTTGCGTTCTCAAAAAACAGTTCTTTGGGACTTTTTACCAGTTATTATATGGAGAGTAATAAACAATTTCTGGTAAGTTTCATCTTTATTTTTTGAATATTGGGGCCAATCCCTAATCTTACTGGTCTATTAAGAAAACGCCCCTTACTTAAGTGAAGAATACGGCAGTTGTGGCTATACTATCGTGAAAGACTGCCAAGTGATGCGGGTCTGGTTGCTCTAAGCTTTAAGGCGCAGTTCTACTGTCTTGGTGGAAGAAACAATAATTATTATACTCGTTGTTCTGTTGATTAATAGTCTGACTTTCGAATGTTTATTCGTTCATTCGAGCTTTACTTGCTCTCGGTGAAGTTGGACTTTTCCAGTGTTATATTTTTTCAGTTTATATTTTTTTACATGTTAATGAGGTATAAACCTCCTTACAATGAAAATATGCAGAGAAAAGATAATTCCAAAATATTGAACCTTGCAAGGGAAATAAATAAGGGACTATAAAAAAGAAAAAAATGTTATTTTCCTTTTTAAATAATTATTGGAAACTACATTTAACACAAAAAAAACAGCCAAGATGAGTATATATTTTTTCTAATGATTTTTCATGATGTATATAATTCCTAGCCATTTCCAGAAACGATAGTTTTAACTTTAATTTTTTTTTTATTTCCAACACTGTCATCACCACATATACCGATGACACGTGTATCCTATCAGTTAATAACGATCCATCTATTTCATCCCAAACTCTTCAATCACACATCACAAGTCTTGAAAAATTTTGTCAAAACTGGAGGATTAAAATAAATTCCATAAAATAACATTTACTCTTCGTCGTAAACCTATGACTTCCTGTCCTACAGTATCCTTCAACAATAGCCCTCTTATCCCTGTCGAACAAATCCTTGACAAACGACTCACTTGGAACCCCCATAACCGATTGAAACGACTAGAAATCGCCCGACGATTTCGACTGCAGCACTTACTAGATAAATGCTCTAAACTTCCAACTATTTACAAAAGACTCATATATATTACTGTAATAAGGCCTATTTGGACCTAAGGGGTCGAGCTTTAGGGTTCTACTAAACCATCTAATTCCTCTCGTATCCAATCCCTACAATCCTAAATCCTTCGTAAAATCCTTAATGCTCCCTATTTTGTCACAAATAAAATCATCCATAACGACCTTGATGTACCACATGTTTCCGATTTAGCTCAATCCAGATACCTGTCCTTCCATAATAAACTTCTGAACCATCCGAACCCTCTTGTTTCCAACCTTGCATCCTCTTCTATAACCCTCCGAGACGTCTGAAAAGAGGATGGCCTCGGGACCTTCTTATACAGAAATATGATTGGAGTGCTACCAATGGGGAGTTTTTCTTCATGTTGTACATGTCCTGTTACTTGTTTCAAATTTACTTGATGTATTTATCATTTATACCGTTGTAAATTTTAATAATAAAAAAAATTAAATTAAAATATGGAAGGGATGATATGGATAATCGATAATATTGAACTAGATACTATCGATGGTAAAATGTCGAATATTGAAAGGAAAATATCGATATTTCTATAATATCGACTATCAATGGCCATATCTCGACTTTCCACGAAATACGTTCCTTTCTATTCCATAGAAGCAGCAAATGCTTTAGGCCCGTGCAAAAATTTCTCACAGCATCTTGTTATCCAATGCCAAATTAATAAGAAAATAAAATAATGCAACGTATCAAATGTTCCTTTATCGATAAATATAATCGACAAAGAAAACAAAAATTAATTTAAATCTTCATTAATGTTTGGAACCAACTTGAAATGTTTACAAATTTCAGTAAGCTGTATCTTTACTAAAAATTGTCCGATCTCGATGAATTTTTTTTTCAGTTTGTAGGGAATTTAGTAATCTTTTATGTAATTATGGGCATAACAAAGGAAAAAGTGTGTAATGTTTCAGTTATTCGCAAATAAATTTTGTTTTCTTTCATAAACTGTTTTGACTATTTTGTCCGCCTGAAGAAGAAGGAAGCCTTCGATTTGGTGAAAAATTGACGATGATATGGCTTGCCGCATTATCTCGAAAATAGTACGTTTTTGGGCTTAAAAATGCAGGATCCGATAGTTCTGAAGGATCTTCAAGGTCCAATTCGTCCCGTATCGATCTACAGACCTATGTATTGAAGCCTAGCAAAATGTTTGTATCGACTTTATTTATTTTAGAAAGGAAAACAAAAGTGGAGAATACGATTCGCTAACCCTCCGTGAAATTCTGAATCCAACGGTACACCATTCATGGTATTTGAGCATGACAGGAGCTTATATTTGGTACAAAACCGATTTTGAGCCTTAATGTAATAATATATGTGGGGATGGGAATGGGGATTATATATATATAACCATATAATATAATTAAATGAGAAATAGTTGATCGGGGGGGGGGGGGTGCGGTCAAATTAATATTAAATTAAATAAGTATAATTATTTAATTTTTTTCCTTTTAATGTTTCAATTTCTTTACTTCTTAATCTTTAGTCACGTTATCTATCTACTTACAGTTATCAAATGTAACCTCCACTAGCTTGTTATCCACTGATATCTTATTATTATGTTATCTTATTCTTATTTTAGCTTTACTTTATCAATACTTATTAAATTTACAATCTATTTATTCGTTAACATTAATTTTTTTTAAATGTTAACCTTCATTTATCAAATGTAATCTTTATTAGTTTATTATACACTCATTCCTTATCTTTTATCACAATCTGTTTACCTTTAACTTACATGCTATATTCTCCTTTATTTTCTATTTTTATTCATACTTTTTTTTCCGTTTTTGTTTGTATCTTCTACATATAATGCTTGATATTTTAACTACATTGTCACTATATCTCTGATATCATCTTTTTTTTTCTGTATCAGACAACTTATTCTTATTTTATATCTACTTATATTCATTTTTTTTATTTTCACCATGTTTTGTATCTTTTGTAGCCCTGATGAAGACCTGCATAGTGGGTAGAAAAAAAATATAAAATGGCAAAAATTAAATAATTATACTTGTTTAATTTATTATTAATTTGAACGCACCCCCCGATCAACTCCTTCTCATATTATATCAACGGTTTCAAGATCTCTATATCAATATAATTAAAGTTCTTAGAAATTGTTGACACAATGTTTCAGCCTTCAACATCATCTGCGCCGGCAACGAATCAGGCAAAGACTCCTGTTCGGGAGACTCCGGTGGACCGCTGATGCTTCCGGTCAACGAGCACGGGACGATTAGGTACTATGTGGTAGGCGTCGTCTCTTATGGACCGGAAGCTTGCGGCGAAACCAACTCACCCGGCATCTACACCTACCTTGCGCAGTTCGAGCAGTGGATCTTGAACCTGATAAATACCAACTGATCGGAGAACTGATCGTTTAAGAAATAGTCTCTTGGTGTTATCATCCCACATACGTTACTGACCCTTCGAGAGGTGAATTCCTTCCGCTTAAGAGATCTGCAGCCTATGTACTTTGTAAAATTATAGATGAAAATTATAATAAAGTTTTTATTTGTTGTATAAGCTAGGCCATTATTCAACAACATTTTTTTTATTAGCTATTTTATTACAACGTTTCGACCATCACTAGGGTCATTTTCAAGTCTTATTGAGTCCTCCATTAGATATTCATTATTAATGTCGTATTAATTTGTTTAGTGAAAACTTAAATTGTCCTGACATTTGTTTCCCCTAAGTCATTTCGAGTCCCTCCAGAAATTAATAATAAAATAAAATAATGCAACGGATCAAAAGATAAAGAAATCAAATTTTCCTTTATCGATAAATATAATCCACAAAGATAACAAAAATTAATTTAAATCTTCATTTTTGCTTAGAACCAACATGATTACAAATTTAAGTAAGCTGTATCTTTGCTAAAAATTGTCCGATCTCGATGATTTTTTTTCATTTTGTAGGGAATTTAGTAATCTTTTATATAATCATGGGCATAACCAAGAGAAAAGTGTGTAATTTTTTAGTTATTTGCAAATAAAGTTCGTTTTCTTACATAAATTGTTTGCCTGAATTTTCGGGGTGATTGGAATATTTTGCCCGCCTGAAGGAGAATGAAGCCTTCGAAATTGGTGGCTCAATCTTGAGATTTGGTGAAAAATTAACGATGATACGGCTTACCGATCAAAAACACCATCGATAAATAATATAAACTCCTCCTGTTTCGATCATAGTAATCTCAAGTCGACGAAATGAGACATGTATTCAATGACAGTACTAAAATTAATGTAAGGTTGTCTATGCCTTGCGTTATCTCGGAAACAGTACGTTTTTGGGCTTAAAAACGCAGGAACGCAGGAACTATCCGGGTCTTGCTGTACGCATCAAAATCTTCAAGATCCAATTTATCGGTCTACAGACCTACCACCGTTCCAGTATTGAAGCATAGCAAAATGTTTGTATCGACTTTATTTATTTTAGAAAGAAAAACAAAAGTGGAGAATACGATTCGATTTCGAGTCCCTCCAGAAATGATGTAGGGAAAACTCTTAAATAGCAGGACAATTTAATTTTTCACTGAACAAATTAATACGACATTAATAATGAATATCTAATAGAGGACTCAATAAGGCTTGAAAATGACTCTAGTGACGATCGAAACGTCGTAATAAAATAGCAAATAAATAAAATGTTGGTGAATAATGGCCTAATTTATATAACAAATAAAATCTCAAGACACCAATTTTAGGAATAATGAACAGAAGAGATATAATTAAGCTATTTTCTAGAAAATTACAAACCGTAATCCTCAAGTTAAAGTTACCTACCCGCCAATGTTTTTCCAAATTCAGACGTCTTCATATCGATGTCTATTCATATATTAATTTCAATATATATATTTTATATATAAAATAGATATTTTATTATTAATTTTATTTTCAAAACTTTAAATTAATGTATTAGAAGTTATTTTTATTTGTGTATATTTAATTGTGAACGTTTCACCACGGCGGAACAACTCATGAATTTTATAATAATCGTTTTAAGTTAATAATTTCTGTGTAAAAGGCGGAATATATCAATAATATATTTTACGATTATTTCTTATCATGATGATGTCTGGTTTTGATATATTTTAAATGTGATTTGATTTGAGAATATTTTTTAATTGTAATCTTTCAAAAAAAAATATTCATAATTACGACTTAACTAATTGTTAATGTCCATGAAATCGAATGAACTCATAGGAGGTTTATAGTTACAATTACAATACTGATTTACCAGTTATTTTGTTTAATATATAATAGCATGTATTTCAAACATAAATAATTTTAATAAATTAAAATGTACATCCATTATTTTATTCAATACCTGAACTGAATATTCTCATGAACGAACTTAGTCATTTGAGATAGACTAGAGAGGATTTTTTAATGTATAAAAAATTCAAGATAAGAATTTTATATATTCGAATCAAGTAGGGTAAGCGTACCAGTTGTGGACATAGCTAAAGTAATTTTTGTCTTTTTTGGTTTACACCTTTGTAATTATTATAATTATAAAGTTCTCCTTTGGACATTTAGAATCTCTAGGGTCTCCTTTTTCTATTTAACACTTTAAAATTGAAAAATTATTCAGTTATGCAGTTATAATCACCATTTAAAAAAAAATCTATTTGCTCTAGTGATGGACACACCGAAATTCAATTGTTCTAGTAATGGACATACCTCAGAATGATTCTAAAATCTTTATTTAACTATAAAGATAAGAAAACATAAATGTTTAGCTTACTCTTATCAAAACTCTTAATAGGAAGATATGAAACACACTAATCTCGAGAGCACTATAGAACGAACAATGATAGGCATCCTGAAATTTTCTTTTGGAAACTTTGTTCATATGTCAATAGAGAGCATTGTTCTTCAATCTAGAAACAATTGAATACCTTTAAATCAACAAGGAAGCTTATTATTTACATTTAAAGTTTGATCCCTTGTCCATAACCAGTGAGTTCACCCTAAATATCTTAAATAATTATGTATCAAAATTATATATGGAGACATTAATAGTTGGTACTATTATGGTCACCAAGTCCTATTTTTTTTGGACAGTTCAAAGGATTATCAAAAGATTATTAGGGTAAAGGCACCAGTAGTAGACACATGAAACTTCAATTTAAAAAAAAAGTGTTGGAACCATCAGAATGATTTGAATTTCGTATCATTTTAAACTTTAGCTTTTACTGTGTAGCCACTAGAATGCGGTAGCAAACCAAGTCAGCAGTGGAAAGATAAGATCAGCTGATATATTTGAAGTGTCATCCAAGGACCAGCTGTTACCAAATCAGCTGAGGAGGGAGTTTGATTTTCATCAATTATTCTTTTATTGTTACAATTTATTATTCAAAATTGTTTTCTCTAAATGATAGTGTAGACAATTAACTCACTAGGTAGCGTGTTTTTGTGTGTTAGTTTTGTTTGATTGAGCACAAAAACAAACTGTCTACTTCTGGAATACTGATGATACCTCTTGTTCCAGTAGTTTTTATTTTATTTATTTTTTATTTATTGAATAATAATACAATCAGCCACTGCTGGAGGGCTATAAGTATTAGGGCTAAAAGTTCTCATTCATACAATATATACAAATAATAGAGAAATATATATAAATATAAAAAGTAAATAAATAATACTGATGAAGAAAGTAAACAAATAACATAAAATAGAAACTTCTAAACACAATCATACCTACATAGAATATATACATTCGCCCAGGAATCTCCGAGCCAGGCTTTTTCCCCCACATGTGGAAGGCAAAGCAGAACTCAAGGAGATCCCAGTGCCACTTTTCCAGCCGCATCACTGGCATTAGAAACCACTGGAGACTGAAAGAGGACACTAGAACCACAGTGTTCCAATAGTAGACAGAAGTGTCTATTAATAGAAAACTCAACTTTTTTGTAGTAATGATTGAATATCATTCATATTTCTATTCTAAGTATGGGAATGTTCGAATTTTTCCCACAAAATGTCTTGTTACTTTTTACCTACAAATGTAATTTAATTTAAAAAATAATTTTTTTTTCATTTTCAAAGTTATTTTTTTAAAATCATAGTTCCTTGGTAAAAACTATTAGCGATCAGAAATAAATTAAATATATTAATTAAGTGGTGTCAACTACTGGTGTCTTTTCTTGTCTACTATTGGTGAAAAAACATGTTTTCGAAAATTATCTAAAAAACGACCTAAATATCAATGTTTAATTTATCTTAGAAGAATTCAATGTAAGTTGTACTCAGCCCTTAATGTATTAAAATCAGATACAAATATTAGGTTTGTGTGGAGTGTCATCCGCACGGGTCAGCGATTGATAATAAATTTTTATAACTTTAACTTCGATAGTAAATTTTAATAATAAAATTTTAACTGGAGCCCACTTTAAATATATTTTTTTTTTTTTATTATTTCAATGGAATTTACAACTGTATTACATAGAGAATACAATAAGTAAATGAGAAATTTGTAACATGGCATGTACAACATGAAGAGAAACTACCCATTGGTAGAACTCAAATTAAAGTTCTATATTAGAAGATCCCGAGGCCATCTTCTTTTCAGACGCCTCGGAGGGTTGTCAGGGATCGAGGAGGAAGCAAGGTTTGGAACGAGAGGATTCGGATGATTCTGCAGTTTGACTTTAAATATAAATTCTATTATTTAAGAATAGTATGGAGATCTCCTATTACCTCTATAATTAGCATTAATTATACATCTGTTCATTTAACTATGTACGTTTTGAGCTCTTGTAACCTCATATTCTTCTGATACAAAATAAAGATTTTAGACCAAAAGTTAGTATGAGAAATAGTATTCATTTGGAGGTGGTGGTTTGATTTTACTGATATTTATATAGTTTCATTTATATTAATTATTATATCACACCTAATCTTATTTATATTATATTGTGATATAATTATAATTATTATAAAATAGAAAAGGAAGCACAATATAACGTACAATATTCGTACAATATACGTACGACGCTGCGCTTATATGAAGCTGGACAAGTTGAATATATATATAATATGATTACAAATTGACAATAAGAATAAATATAATTATATAACAATATAAAATGGCTATAATGCAAGATGTATAGTATTGATTTTTGAAGAAATTAAACATTTGTCAGAATGGTTGTTTTGTTTATTTTATTTTATGTTGATAAAAAATAATACGAGCTGAATTACAGAATACATTTAAATTAAAGTTATACGATTTGAGCAACGAGTAGTACAATTATAGGACCAGTTGTATAATTTGTAAAATGGGGGTTGGTCCGCCGTTTTATATGTATAAACCTCTGCCCTAAATGATGCCTTCCACATTTTGCCATGAGAAAGCATTCTGACTAGCGTTCTCAAGATGCATATGTTGTACATTACGTAAAACTAATTAATTTATCTCAGATAAGCTTAAAGCTCCAGCAATTTCCCAATCACTATCACATTATATCTGATAATTTATCAATTAATTCTAAGGAACATTCGTGACCTGAAAATCTAAGTCATTCCATTTTACATCTCAAGTTTCTATCTAACTATTCTATTCAGAATCTCTTAATTTTACTGTTTATTTCCATTTCTTATATAACTTCACATTTTTCTGTTTTTACATTATATTCTAAGATTCCCATTTTAATACTTATGTCACCTTTTTTTTTCTTCATTATTTTACTTCATCATTCCATACTTTGTACCGCTTATTATCATTTATCTCTTTGTTCTTACTATTGTCATTATTCTAACAACTGAATTTTACTTTAATTTTTTTACCTACACTACTTATGTTTCTCATATCTTATTATCTGGTTCTTTTCTTAGCCCTGATGATGGCCTGAACTTCAGGTCGAAACGTCGGCTAATGTCAAAATAAATATTATCATTTATTTTTGCCTTCTTATTTGACTCATCTCCCATACTATTCTTCTCTCCAGTATTCACGGCAGTCAACCATTTACCAATTATCATTCCATTTTAATTTACCATATTCCCTTATATGGATAACTTGACCTATTTAATAAAAAAATGAAACAAGAGATGTTTCATTTCTTGATTTTATTCATTCAAAATAGTTTTATTAATTTTTTTAG